AGCACTGCACATTTTGTGTGTCTCCCTAATCAAACACACCTGATTCAACTCATTAGCTCATTAAAGAAACTCCAGGACCTGAAATGGGTGTCAGATAAGGGAGACATACAAAATGTGCAGTGTTGGGGGGCGCTCAGGACCAAGGTTGAGAAACACTGATGTAGAGCAACAATTATTTTTTTCAAGGCTGTGTGTTGAGTTATTTTGAGGGGACAGCAAATTTACTCTGTTAAACAAGCTGTACAATCACTACTTTACATTGTAGCAAAGTGTCATTTCTTCAGTGTTGTCACATGAAAAGATATAATAAAATATTTACAAAAATGTGAGGGGTGTACTCACTTCTGTGAGATACTGTATATGTATTTTGCCCATGAAATGTATACATGCATGTACACATCTAATTGTTGGTACTTGGTGCTACCACTACTTTAGAAATATTTTTTAAATATTTATTTTATTTTAACCTTTGACATCCATATAGACACATAAAAAATTTCCACCCATCTGATTTCCTGCCTTCTCTAATCTGTCAATGCAACACACACACACTTAGCCAAGCATGGATAAACGTTTGAAATATTCATACACAAGGACTATGGAACAGAGAAAGGCAATGAAGCTGAGTGAGGAAAAAGCAAACTATGAAATGAAAGAGTACTAGCCCTGTTTGATCCAATGCAGTGAGCTCATGGTAACCACATGGTCAGACTCTCATTAGTGTAATTAAATCTACAAATCAGCTCTAAAAAACAATGACATTTATTATCGCCGCTGCTGAAATGTAGAATTTGCACTTTGTGGAGGACTTCAGGATTTGGAAGGAGGTTGAGAAACTGTGTCCAACTGTACTGTAGCTCTCAGCACTTTGAATAGGAGTCCTTGCTGGGAATGAGCCAATGTAAGTCATTGAATGATTTACACTGAATGGGCTGTCTGGATTAAAAGAGGACAGAGTGATGCCAGAGCTGGAACTAGCACAATATACAAAGCCTACAGAATTTTAAAATTATAATTAAAAAGTAATAACACTGTTAAATTTAATCTTTATCAAATCTCAAAATCAACATCCATTGTTCATACTTTGCATTATAATGTTGTGAATTATTACTTAAGTTTTATATTATTTATGAATATTATAGATATTTATATCAATAATGAATTATATTAATATAATACATTATAATATATAATACATTATAGTAATATATATGTATATGGACTGAGCTTATGTGTGTATATAGCTATGTTTATTTTATTTTATAATTTTATTGGTATTAATATTTTATTGTACATGCTAATTTGACCTATTTTAACATTTAGATTTACTTTTGCTCTCATTTAATGTTGACCTACAGATAATAGCCATAAAATAACACTGTTAAATGTGAACGCACACATATACACAGATATATATGTATGTGTATATATATTTGCAGAGAGCTTATTACTTTGCAGCATTTTAGGCACATTAAATTTGCTCTCCACTTACTAATAAATTTGTCTTTTTGAAATATTCAGTCCGTCTGCTCACTAATGAGCCGATATAATGCATGAGCCAGAAAAGAAAAACAAGAAGAAATGGGGGAATTTGGTGCGGCTGGATAAAATGATAATATGTGCAGGTGTTTTGAAGGGCTCAGAGGTGTGCAAGCTCTCACTATTACCTTTTAAGACGGTCCCCAGACAAGCCACGGACAGATGAAAGGAATCTAGAGCGTATGACAGAAGAAGCTGACAGAGAAACAGTGCAACAGTGCTCAGGGGTCTTGACGGCACTTCATAACTGATTTTGCATTTATGTAACGCGTTTGATGTGGCAAAGTTCTCACTCTTCAATCTCTTTTGTCCTCCTGCTCTATTCTCTCAGGTGCAGGTGGGAAGCTCAGCTCAGGATCAGCGGGTTGTTGGATATATCGCTTGCACTCATCTGCATGCTATTGAAGGTGGGTGTCTATACACACACACAAATAGAGCAGACAGATTGATATCTCATATATAGTCTTATCTGAAACTAGGATATCATAGAGACTTAAATGGCCAGTTCACGCAAAAAATTTAATTCTGTCATCACTTACTCACCCTCATGTGTTCCAAACTAGTATGACTGTCTTTGTCCATACACTGGAAGTCAATGGTAACCAAAACTGGGGAGACAGACAACACAACAGCGCTTTCAGATTCAGATACTTTTATTTCAGTCTCATTGAGTTTAAAGTATCTATGCTTCCCTCAAATGCACATCGCAATTCACTTTAATTACACAGAACAAAATGATTATATATTATACATGGTTTTCTAAGCTCACTGTACATTACATAAATACACACATCCTGTGAGAGCTCTAATTTAATGGGCAAATAAATGTACAGCCATTTGCATTTGCACTCTGCATGGAAAATGTATAAGACCGCACTGTTGCATTTTTAATAACTTCTGAGGCTTATTTTGCTGTGTTTATATAAGCTGTTTGATCGGTTACATCAAGGAGCTGTAAAGACCGGGTACATTCACGGTGTGGATGAATCATGTTTGTGTTGGAGACTCAAGGTCTATAGAAGAGTCTCTTACAAAACAAAAACAAACACTCTCTGTTAGTCTTTGAACGTGTCTCTGACTGTATGTGATCTCTGAGGCATCTGTCATAGGAAATCAACATGTGCTGTTGGGAATAATTAAGTGAAGCATCTTCTCATAGGATAAGGACATGCAGTCTTATGAATAATTATGAGACAATGACACGTCATCAAAGTACTACAGTGATTTGCAAGTCAACTTGTGACATTAACATGATATCGATTTTAAACACGCAAGACGAAAATGGCGCAAAAGGCTCAAAATTAACTAGTTTTCTTCTACAATTAAAATGAATGGATGCTAACATTGTCTTCCATGATGTGCAACACAGACTGTTAAAATCGCTGTTAAAAGAGACTCTGTTAATATCTCAGAAAATATAGTTTGGTGTTTCATAATCCTTTGATGTTTATGAAGATTTTTACTGAAAAACAAGACTGACTGTAAGACAGGAGTAATATTGAGCATTTATTTACTTTTTATTGGAGGGAGTCTCTCCTTCATTCTCAAATTATTATTATTCATTATAATTATTAATATAATTATATAATAATGAATCATTATTAATTATTAATTACATTTATAGATTTAGCAGACAGTTTTATCCAAAGCTACTTAACAATGCTAATTTGTTAATTGCTATTATTGCATTTCTTTTATTTAAAATAATAATAAGAATTTGATGCAAGATGAAATCATTTATTTTATAGATAATAAAATATTAGTAGTAGTATTAATAATATTAATTATTATTATGCGTATTAATATTATAATAATATAATTGTTATGCTTATTAATAATTTTATTATATTTATTATTATGCTTTTTTGTTGATGATATGTGCCGTTATGAAGCTATTTTTCTAGTCAGGACCACAAGCTTGAGTGGCTTTTTCAGGTTTTATCCTGACACACACTCATAAACCCCCGGTGGTGTTGCTGTAGTCTGACTGGCGCGGTGATGTCGAGTGATCCTGACAGGTTTGTCCTGATCCTACTGCTCATTTGCCGTACATCTGAGTAGATTTCCACACAGAGCAGGGAAACAGTTGTGTGGATGTGAGCGTTCGTGTGCAACCCGTAAAAAACGCCTCTTCTTTGCTTTATCTCAGTATCTTGTGTCATGCACGCACGCCCGAATCACCACTTCACATGCAGGGCCTGTGACATCACTGCATGTTGACCCCTGTTCTCCGCTCCGATTAATCAACGTGTCCCGCTCGCCCACAGGGTCCCGGTTCCCATGACGACGGGCTCTCGCCGATCATTGCTATTCCGGGATCCACCTACGCCTCTGTGTGTCTGCCACCTGATCTAATTATAGAGCAGGGGCTATTTCAGGAGGATAAATTAAACATGAGGGAACAAGGCAAGAAACTGGGAAGAAGGCAAGAGAAACCTGATTATACTGGAGATGATGCTGGACAGGGACTTTCAGGGACAAGCGTGGTTCAGTTAATAGAGGAGGCAGCTTCGTCTCTGGATATTCTCAATCGCTTCTTTTCGCCCGTGACACTCTCTCTGTGTGTGTGTGTTACAGACTTTGACAGTGCAGAGGCGGATTTAAGTTATTCTCCTGACATACACACATGTATGTGAGGTTGTTCACTTGTCTTGGACATACTGAAATGTGGTTTCTTATGCAGTGTAGAGATTTCAGAGAGACTACATGAGACCTAGAGGGAAATTTTTTATAGCTAGTGTAGTTCGTTTGTCTCAAAATTAAAAATTTGATTGTCAGGCTGTCAGGATTATGGACCTGTTTAGTAGTTTAGTTTGTTCCTGGTGTTCCTTATATGGTCTTTTTCCTGTCCTCGTTTAGTTTAATTAGTCATTCAGTTCACCTGTTTTTGTTAATTATCCCTTGCATTTAAGTTCGAGTCTGTGCTGTCTGTCTTTGTCCGAGATTGTACGTCAACGAAGAAAGATGGCGGCAGGTAGAGCAGGTGTAGCTATAGCTCTCTTAATATATGGATTAGTTTTAACTTTCCTAAGACCGGTTAGCACCAATACATTTTTAAATCGTGTCAGATTTAATCGTCAACATCTTTATGGGAAATTACTTTCGAACAACATCGATATATCAACTCAACAAACGAAACAGGAACCACTTTAAATACACAGGACACGTCCACGCACCCCACAACATCCAACGGGGAGGGGGGGTGGGCGCTCTGGAGGCCGCTCAGGACAGACACAGGATGGCAGGCCTCCAGAGCGGTACCCGTTCCGGGCGACATGGTGGAGCAGGCAGACTAGGAAGCCACGGCGGAGCAGGCAGACTAGAAGGCCATGGCAGAGCAGGCAGACTAGGAAGCCATGGTGGAGCAGGCAGACTAGGAGGCCATGGCGGAGCAGGCAGTTCAGGAGGCCATTGCGGAGCAGGCAGTTCAGGAGGCCATGGCGGAGCAGACAGTTCAGGAGGCCATGGCGAAACAGGGAGCTCGGGGAGCCTTGGCGGAGCAGGCAGCTCAGTAGGCCATGGCTGGACGGCCTCCGTGGCTTTGGTCTCGCCACTCGGTCCGGCCACTACGGATGGACCCATACTACCCCCACCCCAAAAAAAAATCCTTGAGGAGAATATCGACTTTAGAGGCCCTCCGTAGGCCTAACTCGGGAACTGTGGCCCTCACTGGGCTTGACTTGGGGACTGGATCCCTCCTTGGGCTGGACATGGAACCTGGAGCCCTTTCTGTGCTAGACACGGGGATGGAACCTTCTCTGGGCTAAACTCGGGGACTGGAGCCCTCTCTGGGCTAAACTCGGGTTTGGTTAAAGGTGAACGGCGCAGCCGGCGGCCTTGACTGAGGAGCGACCGGCGGGCTTGGGAATGCTGCGGCTGACTGGCTTGTCTTCGGAGCGGCCGGTGGGCTTGGGAATGCCGCGGCCAGCGGGCTTGACATCGGCGTGGCCAGCGGGCTGGTTCTGGCTTGGGGCCCTGGTTCTGGCTCAGGGCCGAACGCTCTCCAGACACCGGAGGGTCCCTTCCCTCCAGCTTAGACCCGTGGTATCTGGGAGGTCCACGGGGCAATGGTAGTTGGCCCTGTGCCACAACAGAGAGTTGATGGTGGCGTCATCTAATGCTGTCGCAGCGGCGAGCCCGCAGAACTCCCTGGCATACTCGACGAAGGGGAGATCTCTACGGGCTAGGGCAATGATGCACGCCGCGATCTCCATAATTGCGGGGGGGGGGAAACGGAAAACAAAAACACTTTCAAAAACGAAAAAAACTCAGGGAGAAGAGGTGCCGCTCACTTAATGTTCTGGTGCGGTATTCTGTCACGGTGTGCCTACTGTGAGGAGCGAGGAACAAGGAGAAGAAAGCACGTGGGGGAGGAAAACACAAAACACGGAACACAGGACTGATGTTGTTACACAAGTTATAATTTTGCATTTTGTCACTTATAGACTACCATTTAAAAGTCTGGGGTCAGTAAAATTTGAGTAAATGTAATGCATTAAATTGATGAAAACTTGACTATAAAGACATTTACAGTACGGTCGCCGTGATTTTGCCAAGTAAGACATGTTCCTGGATCAACATCTTTTGTTGATCCTGGATCAACATTACTGTCCAAAAATATAGACTAAACCCAATCCCTACCCCTAAACCAAACCCTACCCATCATTCATTCCTAAAATCAGTGTGAAATGATAGCTGATTAACAAGGGTGTAGAAGCACCTAACCCTGATTGTAAGCTTAAAATAGACATTTCCTGAAAAGTTATCTCTCAATTCTGATTGGTTAATTGGAATGTTGTTCCAGGATCAACAAGGATGTTGATCCAGGAACATGTTGTACTTGGTCAAATCACGGTCACCTTTACAGTACAGTGTTACAAGGTTTCTATTTTAAATAAACACCATTTTGAATTTTCTATTCATCAAAGAATTTTTAAAAATGTTTCATGGTTTCCACAACAATATTAATCAGCACAATCAACTTTGATCATAACAATAAGTGTTTCTTGAGCAGCAAATCAACATATTAGAATGATTTCTGAAGGATCATGTGACAATGAAGACTGGAGTAATGATGCTGAAGATTCAGCTTTACATCACAGGAATAAATACATTTTAAAATATATAGAAAATAGAAAACAGTTCCTTTAAATTATAATAATATTTCACAATATTACTGTTTTTACTGTATTTTTAATAAAATAATGCAGCCCTGATGAGCATACAAGGCTTCTTTCAAAAACTTTTGAAACAGTGTATATTGCAAGTGAACCAAATTTTACATTATATAAAAATAATTGACTGTAGATTGGCCAATCAGAAACAAGTAATCAAGTAAACAGTAACTGTTTTGCAATTCCATTTGGTAGCACTAGTGGTGCATAAATTACACACTACATGTTTAAAAGATTTTTTAAAGGTTATTTTTTACCACCAGCAACACACATAATTCTAACTTCAGCAACCTTGAGAAATGCAATTAAATTGCGTTCTTTTTCTCTTGTCTCTCTCTTTCTCTTCTACACCTGCCCCTGCCAGCTCCACCAAAGCAGAGGGGAGATGTTACAGATGATCTCCTCTGTTCCTTTGCTTCACTGCTCTTTTGCACTCTTCCTGTCTCTGTTTTCCCACCCCGGCCTCATTAAATCGCTACATCTGCCATAACCGCCTCAGAACGAGTCGTGAAAATGTGATAAACTGGAGGCGCCTCAGTGCGACGCTATTTCATTATATTACACTGAAATCAAACGAGTTGTTTTGCACAATGCGCTCCGTGCGCGCTTTATTAAATAAAACCCCTCCATAAAATGAAATCCAGGGTTTTATTACATTTCAGTTCTTAGGTATTGTTTGTGTAAATCTGTCTTCCTCTCTCAGGTGATTCATCGGTGCGCTGCGAGCAGTTGGATATGCTGCTGGAGTGGGGAGCAGAGTTTAAGAGGCCCACCTCGGGTCCCACGGACGAGGAGAAGGTTCTGGAAGATCAGGTGGCCTTCGATGTCATCCTCGGAGACCTCAACTTTGACAACTGCTCCTCAGGTAACAGCATTTTCTCCTTACATTCTCCTTACAAAATTGATTATACTTTTAGCTACTAAAAATAAGTATATGTAACAGCTGGGTTTAACATATTTTGGCATGTTTTAACCCATTCCATGATATTTCCCCCACAAAATACTCTTAAAACATGGCTATTTATTAGAAAATTGCAGAAAAATCAATATTAGAAAAGACACTAATGTGTAAAAGAATATATATATTATCATTATTGTTGTTATTGTTATTGCTATTGTTATTATTATACAATTAAAAATTACAGAATGTGAGAAAAACTTGGCAGAAAATTTATTATTATTATTATCATCAACAAAATATAAATTATATTAATAAATGTGTATATATATATTTTTTCAATATATTTCCTATATTTTATTTATATTATACTCTATTTTATTATATTTTTAAAAAAATTATATTAAATATATTGTGTGTGTATATATAGCCATTTTATTTTACTGTATTATCTTTTACAATATTATATATTATACAATATTTTATTTATTAAAATATTTGTAATACAAAAATTACAAATTTGAAAAAGAAACTTGACAAAAGATTTATTATTATTATTATTATTATTATTAACATAATAATTAGCATTTTATATAACAACGGCACAGTTACAATACTAATATTTATGATTGTTGTTGTTTTTTTTCCTTTGCTTTTTAAACGTTAAACTGAGCTTTTATTTTGCCAGTAAACTCTTTTTGAAATGCTTCTCTTTTGTTTACAAATTATTCTCATTACAAACTTGTGAAGATGATTGACACATTTTCAGCGGCACATTATAAATGCGATTCAATAACTGTGATAAACCGTATTGCATGCTTCGGTGTTGTAAGAATTGATAAAAAAGCCGAGGAACATGGTTTAATATACTTGCCAGCGTTGTTTTTTAAATGCATTATCTGGCATTTGTCAAGTGATAATGTTGGGCACTATATGCTGCATATATATATCTATATGCATTATAGTCAGCTGTTTGTGTTATGATTGCCCCACTGTATATATATATATATATATATGTTATTAAATAGTTTATTATTGTATTAAAATATTGGATTTTTTTATTAAATATTTAATATTTAAATTAAATAATAATTAAATAAATAATTTAAATATTTAAATAATATTTAAAGATTTCATTATGCCCTTTTTTAACCTTTTACACACACAAAGAAGATCTTTTATAACATGGTAACAGGCTTTTTTCTGAAGTGTCTCGATTTCTGTGAGATTTTAAAATTGCTTCCATGTCAGAGCTAAATTAGATGTCACACGGCTGTGCTCTCCACGGCCACACACAGATGGTGCACTAGATGAGCTGGCAGGAGACCACGGGAGAGAAGTTCTTGCCCAGCCTCACTTCTGAAATAGATCTACCGGAGTGCAGGCCTTTAATGATACTTCTGATTTTAGTGGCCAGCATTTGTGGGCGTGTTCCACTTCTCTTTTATAGCACACCCTGTTTTTTTCTCTCCTCTGAGGTTCAAGGCCTGGTGAGGGTATGAAGATTTACACTGTGAATAGATGGAAAGATAACAATTTTGTTACTAACCTCTAGAACAGGGGTACTCAACCATATTTAGTCCATGACCCAACTTTTTTTTTTTGGTTCCACAATTCTTGCATCCCATACTACTCACATTTTAGATTTCAAGTATACCATGGTGTTCTTTTGTATGTATTTTTTTAATATATTAATTATATGATTAAATAAATGTAATTTACTTTATATTATATACTTTACAAAAAAAGTAGATGTGTTGTTTTGATATATATATATATCAAAGTCAAAGTCTGCTTTATTGAAAGTCAAAGTCAAAGTCT